AACTCGGCAGCACGGCTCGGAGGAGGCACTCGTAGACTTGTAGCATCTTATGGCATAACATGGTATCTCATAGTGTACTGTAGTGTGTCCATCGGCGGTTTCTTGTTTGGGAAAGATTTGACGAGACAGTCGGAGGTTCCTCCAGGGCAGGTGCTTGAAGAGGCTTCTGTGCTGGAGTGGGCCGTTGGGATGCACAACAGTCGCCGAAGTAGGCTTGCCAGCCTACAGAAGACTTCTCGTTCTTGGCAGCAGCCGCAGTCCTTGGTGGCAAGTGTGCCGTGCAGGGACAGCTCTACTTACTACTAGTAGGAGGGCAGCAGGATCACCAACACGAATCACAGTTACGACGACGGTCACCCGCAAAACCTACAGCAACGTCACCACCACTGTGACCACTTTCACTATCACCAGCTGTCAGTTTCATATCACTGTCACCACCACCATCACCATCACCGTCCCCGTCATCATTGCCAGACGGTTGACTGTTTGCACGCACAGAATGACGATCATGCAAGTCCGTGCTGAGCACACGTCCCATTTGCTGACGTTCCGGCCTGCAGTTTCGTTCCCTTGGATTAGCGAGGCCCTAGAGTCACGGCAGAGAGAAGCCAATCCAGCTCCGTGTAAACCACCAGGAGCTTTCAACCGCGTAGCCCGGACACCTGCGGTTTCGACGCCCCAGCCACAAGCCAGGAGGGGACGTGGAAGCGGGGGCATCGAGTCAATCAATAGCCTCCGAGAGGCCCAGCAGAGGGATCATGAGAAGTCTGAGTTGAAGCGGTACTTGAGTTTCAGCTTGGGCTTAGTGCATTGCAGTCCCTGCTCAAAAAAGGGCTTTCGTAGGCGCCCCCGGTTTCCTGCCTCTGCGATGAGGCTTTGGATAGTAGGGCTTTCAGAGACGTCGCCACCGCCTCAAGATTAGCCCAGACCCTGAAATCGTACATGAAGCGCGGACTGTTGGCGGAACCCTGAAAGAGCTACTGGGATGCAAGCGCTAAGAAAGAAAAGCCTAAAGCTTAAATCCGTTATCCTTAATCGCCAATAGCTGCCGATATATATATATATATATCCCCCTCCACAGGCACATTAAGCCCGATAGCAAAAGCTCGGACCAAGAGGCCGGCAGCACAAGGCACCCCCGCCCCCCTTGTGCT